AAAAGATGCTCGGCGTAAAGATGAGCAGCCAGACGGATGCTACGAGTGGTTAGCACGAGTGTTATTCTACAGGGTAGCACCATCACTTACGCATATGTAACTTTGGCCTTCCAATCATCTTCGCTGAAAGCATTGCAGATGGCCTCGACGAACTGTTCGACAAACACGGTCCAGTCTCTAATCCATTTGGCTTCTCCGCCCATAACAAAGATGCCATTCGCCCCCTTTCTCTTGAAGGCTCGTATCTCGTTTGCGCCGACACACTTTGCAAGCCAAACGGCGCGTTCCGTGGGAACGTTCTTATTTAAGCACTGCTCAAGCAAGACCTTCCCGCGAATACCGTGGGGGATAGTTCGACTCAAGCGTCTGAGGGAAATAGCTGGGTTAGCAAGGTCCTTGAGCCATATCTCTCTTTTCGTGTCGGTTAGCGTAACTCGAGGCGGGGGTTTGAAGGTAGAAGCCGAAGTGATCTGGCCATTGTGTCTCCTCTGATTGAGGATGCTAGTAAAAACGGTTGATAATGTGTGAAGGCCAGTCTTATGGTGCAGCGCAGGAAACAACGAAGCCTTGGCCGACGCAGGCTCCTGGGTAGACTGCGCCGGTGCCTTGTCGAAATATCCATGCCTAATAATGTTGTCAGAAAACTGATCCTCAGGATGTGATCCGTTCCAACGATAGAAATCTGCGACTCCTGTACATGGGTCAGTACACGCACGAGCGGGCACATCCTTGGTTCTAGTTTTACCGGTGGACTCCGATTTGCCCGTGTTGGGATAGCGAGCAGCAATCGATGGTGGTTCGAGGACGAAGGGCTTCGGGCGGGTGTCCTTCTTGGGGGGTGTACTGGTACTCGAAGACTCCGACCGTTTAACGGGTACAACGAATCGGATTCGACGAGGCGGCATGGGTAGGGGAATTGAATCATCATCGGCCGTTTGGCATCTCGAGGTTCGGGGAGTTAGATCGCCAGCATCAGATGCATCATTCATCGACATCATCCGCGACGGGGTAAAGACTTTGTTGGCGGATAGGGTATCCAAATTTTGCGGGGATTCGCTAAAGCCGGGATGCTCGATGCCATCATTGGCGAGCTCGAGCTTGAGCCTCGACCCTCCCCTTCTTGGGATATTGTTATATCTGTTAAGTACGACATCGCCCGTATCGTTAGACTGCTCATTAAAGCTCTCCGATTTCCGTACAGGGGACGGGGGTAAATATTGTTGCGAGAGGGTTCGCTGGTGAGTAGGGGACTGCGACAACCCCGAGCCGCTTAATGTTCTCTGAGGCTGTCGCTGAGGGACGGCCATAGGGGGCCTGGAGGTCATCGCGGGCGAGCGATGAGTTGATGCGCCATGTCTTCACGTAGTCGAGATGAGCGTTGCGTACGCTGTGGAATTGTGGAATGCGTATTGCGTTATTCCGTACTGAGGATTGCGGATTGGACGAAGGTGAATTCGAGTCTAGGGATATGCGATACCACGAAGGCTTAGATGCAGTCGACGATGCCTCGCAGGAGGCCAACGTGAATAAAAGCGAGGCCAAACAGGAGAAAATAAACAAGTCGAACAAAGCCTCGTATGTACAGCGAAATTTAACATGTGTGTTGTATATACCTAGGTAGATGTGGTAAGATGATGTTAAGCTAAAAAAGAGGGTGTTTCTATGATTAAGCATACACACACACACATACTTTCCGCCTCACACGTCCGTAGCGGCGATACGGTGGTAGCGGCAGAGGTAAATCGGGGTTGCGGTAAGAATGCGTAGTGGCCCAAAGACTGGGAGCAACCCAGATAGTAACTAAAAGTCATTGTACCTGGGACCGGTGGCCAGTAACCAGCCAATAACTATTGACCGCATCTGGGAATCTGAACCAGTGAGAGGTGGAAGAAGGCATGGAAGCGGGTCCTAGGGCGGGTTCGCTATACCTTTGGGTATAAGTAGTACATACTAGTGTATGTAACTAGAACCTTGGCTGCTTAATTTGCTGCTTTGAATTCTGGTTTGGCATGATCTGGGTGGCAGGGGGTGTAGAGACCAAAGGGTAGGATCGGAAGCGCGGGAAAATAGGTAGGTATGCGAACTGACACCATCGCACTTGTGCTTCTGCTTCCTAAGCTTTTACATAGTACATCCTTACAATACCCAGCCCCTTCCGTCTACACATACTTCATACCTGACCGGGCACCTACCTAAATAACATTAAGCCTACATATTAACAAACAAGTAGAAATGAAAGAACGTATTAATATTAGTTAGTACATGTAGTTATCTTGAGTAACTAACTACTTGTATATAGATTATTACCTACGTTAACTAGGTAGATTACATACTTGTATTGTACGTAGCACGCATACCCTCTCCACAACATATCACGGTACCAACCTAGATTCGTCAGATTCATCGGACTCAAGCGACATTTTATAAATACATACCTACATACTCTAACGTTAGGTACATAAACATATCCGGATATCATGATACACAGTAGATCAACCCGGAAACAGCGAGAATAGTCATCAATACATCAATACAATTAAAATACTTGGCACGGCTATCTCAGCTTAGCCAAGCCTCAAAGCCCTTAACTTACCACTGCCTAATATAAAAAATCGTACTACCTAAACCAAGTTCATGACCAGTCCGATCTCCTAGGCGTCACATGAGGACGTTTGGTCATGTCCCCATCATTCTCCCCATTCTCCCCCGTAACCTACCGAACCTGCTGAATCTATCTCGCCTTACCTTGCTTAGGCTGCAAGGCACTAGGTGTAACCCGCGGCTATCGTGGCACCTACGTTACACGTATAGTAATCATCATATCGGCTATCAGCTCCTTTTTTTTTTTTTTTTTTTTTTAACTTCCTTCCCGCGCCGCAGTGCCAGCCTCTGCTTATGGAATTTGGTTGGGAAGCCTGATAGGGGGGCTTTGTTCGGAGATTCGACGACTTCGCCCCGCGAATGTGTTCGTTAGGTAAGACGCCGAACAGCTTACACACGCAATATCCGTAATCAGCGGGATGAGGAGCTTTCCAATTTACAAATCCAGTCCCCAAGTCACGACAGACTAATAAGACGGAGTTAAAGGAATCTACCAAGGCCTAAAGGGGAATAGGAAAGGGAATTGGGAGAGAATGGGGGCTGAACCGAGGCCCTGGACGAGCTAAATCTGCAAGTTTACTAGACCGATCCAGATTTGGCGACCCTATCTCCTGGTATAGGTATACTATGTACGGTTTGCTGAATCCGCCCCCAAACAAATGAATTGAGATGCTACCTAATACCCTTATACGTAGGTAGCTAATCCACGACAAATCATATGGTACGTGGGTATCGTGAGATGATGGCACGTTCTACTACCACAACGCACAACATAGGTTAGGTACCTAGCAGGTGTTGTCAAGTTGATATGGCGCCCGGAGATGCAAGCGGTAATCATAAGACAAGGGATTGCTTGATACGGATTACATAGGCTCCTTTGTGTGCGGGAAAATCATTTCACAGTTGCGGAGAATGAATTGTTCTGATGCTGAAAATCCTTGTATTATCAGAGACTACTCCAACGCCGCCTCCGGTATTTCATTGGGCTTTTGAAATTTTACCAATACCGCTCTCTCGTTTACATTGTCTCCAAGACCGGAGGCCCTATCAGCCAGCTTCAGACGCAGGTCATCAATAACCCGCGTCCGGTCTTCTATCTCTGACAAATGGTTGAACTGAATCCCGGCGGTCTTTCGTAGAGAAAGCCCCGCAATCAATTGCCGCATACGGATGTCGATCAAAGTCGCCGGAGGCCCATTCGGCCGTGAGGAGCTGTTGTGTGCCCAAGTCTACAGGGCCAATGCAGGATCGAATCCCTTATGTGTGACGAGTTTGCGTGGACAACTCGGATACGATATTAGATGTAAGTAGATAGAGACGACAGCGATGTAACGGAACCAAACATTGAACTTTATTAATTAAACGAGAGTGCCAAATTAAAAAAAAAAAACCGTCAACTTTAGGTACCTAGTTTACTACAACTCAATTTTGTTGGCTTCCTGCAAGGGAAATAAAGAAGCTCAACCGATTCTCGTGGCAACGATTGTCCTCGATAAGTGTATTGTTAGTAGGTATGAGACGTGAATGACGTTGCCCGCTTGCGTGCTGAGATATGAATAGCCACAAATTTCAAATACCTACCTCTTACTAGCGGACTTACATAGATGTACGTATTCGCATGAAATTCCCGGTTCGGAAGTTGAGAAAAAAAAAAAAAGAAAAAGAAAAAATATTAACCCCTCACAGTCGATGTTCCAGATGATTACCGAAATTTATTAGGAGAGATCACCGGTGGACGATCGCCTTTTGCAGCAGACGTCTTGGACTTCGTCTCGTTGGTACCTACTACCTACTACCTACTCATCCGTATATAAAAGCCGCATATATTACATAGGAATCCGCGAACCGGGCTCTTGGCCAGAAAATAAGCGGTTGTGCCATTGCGCGAGGCGACGTTCGACGTCGTACAAAGAAGATTAACGGGACATTTGCCAAAGGCCGAACGGGAAGCGACCTCTGGAGATGGAGTTAGGGGGATCGCGATGAACGCAAAAGTGCCGGCCCAAGTTACGAAACTACTCCGCCCATTTCCCGCCCTCTTATATCTTCTAAGAGGCTAGGTACCTAAGGTTAAGATCCTCTTCGGTATTTCACTTTTACACACACGTACGAGGGGTGATACCGGTAATACTTAATAATAATGACTCGAGTAGAGTCGAGACAAGACGAGACGAGACGAGGCGACGTCGAACTTGGGGTTGGTTGGTTACCTTTGTATCGTAGTTATTCGATGTTGCAACCCAGGGGTTATCGACGTTTGTAGGCTAGGTAACTACCAACTAACCTACTATGTACTTACCACCGTGTGAAAATACATATGCACAGTAAAACCCAACTAATCCGTATACATAGGTAGGTACATATGTAGATCTGTATGTAATCTGGCTGATCCCCGCCGTGTGGCTTCATCGCACAAAGGTGGGGAGGAAAAAGGTAAGAAAGCCCAGCCCGCTAAAAAGGGGTTAGCGTCGAGCGGCATCCTGGTCCGACCCTGCAGCACCAGAGCACCTGGATTTAGGCCTAACTGGGAATTGCAGCATGCATCTCAACGACATCGCATCTTTGTTAAGCTTCCATCTATTATACTAATATTAGGCACCCAACTACAACTACAAATACCATACCACCCAGGAGAAGGGAAATATGTCCGCTAAGAAGGATATGCGACGGCCGGACCTGGGTAAGAAGCTCTCTCTCATCCGCGCCTCATATATCACACCGCATCGCATTCGCATTCGCATAGCATCGTGTCCTGTCCTGTCGCGTCGCATTAACTAACACATATCCCCCCATCACAACAGTCGTCCCGTACCAGGAGCCCGCCCCCAAGTCCGGCGACAGCGCCGAGATATCCTCGACCCTATCCTCCACTCTCCCCATGGCCGCCATCTTTACGCGGAACAGGTATATCGGCTGGGCCTCGGTCGTCATCAGCATCCAGAGCTGGCTCGGCGAGAGCGAGGAGGCCAGCAAGAGCAGCGCCAGCACTCCCGGGTACTTCACCATTGGCATGTCAGGTAAGCAAGCAAGCACCCCCTTCCCCTTTCTCTATTAACGCCCGATCCGTTATCATCCCCCTCCTTGTCTAATAAGTACCTAACATAAACCAGCCATGGCCCTCGCCGTAACCTACCTCCCCATGTTCCTTCCGCCGGCGCCGAACCAAGCCACCAACACCGGGCCCGCGGCCCCAGCCGCTGCTTAGGGATATATCTACCTAATGTAGTAATACGAGGTCCACGATAACAAGCTAAAACAGGCCTTCCTGCTTATACATAGGAAAGGGGGGGAAGGGGGGACCTTAGCAAGAATAGGAAACCCTCAAAAGACCCGGGAGAATAATTGTAAGACCATCGAAGGAGGCGGGATAATGTAGTAATTCACCTAAACCAAAGAGACACGTAACCGCACCGGGGTTTCACCCAAGAGCCGGATTATGGCAGAAGTGATGTCAGATTTATTACCCAAGCTTCGAGATTCGGGTCTTGTAAATATATACATACCTAAAGCATGAGCATAAACTTGGTCTCATAATTAATTAATTTCAAAATCATATTTGAAGTAAACAGCTATGGCCTTGCCATGTCTCTCTCGACAGACTATGACAATAACAGATAACAGCGTAGCCAAGCAAGAAGAGGAAAAACGACTAGACCTAGTCTAAACAGTAACTGAATATGTGATTTTACTCAAAAAAAAACAACACTACTACTGGGAGCCCGTTTACTATTTATTATAGATCTACGATGGAAATTTTAGGGTTCAGCTATGCACTCAAGTTGACACGAGAAACACGAGTATGAAAAGGAGCCAATCAACCACCCAAGTAGTCGAGTAAAGCTTTAAGACAAATTATCTTAGCCAAGCCACCTATTGCACTCATTTCCCTTCCCTTCCCTGCCCCTTACCCTCCCTAACCACCTACCTACCTTCCTCGTCCCCACCGCCCCATCCCTCTTCTGCTAGAAGAAGAAAACAAATTACTCGTTAGACAATTAAGTTAACTGTATCATATTACACTGGGCCGTACTCTTGCAAAAAGGCGGACGAGGACCTCGCATACTGTACAGACACGCTCTCGCTGCTTTCTCAGATCCGGCTCTCATCTCAAATTGATCTTTACGCATGCACCTCTAATGCCCTACTCCCCGAACCTAGTCCTCATCGAAGATCTGATAGGTATTCTGCAATATCGTATCGACAACTCTGACCTGCCATCCTGCATCCTGGATATTTGCTCCTGGTGCCGTGCCCATAAGCGTTGGCCCAAAAACAATAGCCAAATTCTGCGAATTCATGCGATTGACGGCCGAGTGCTCGATGACGCGGTGCAGGTGGAGCGTCAACGCCCTCAGCGTAGCGTAGTTTGGATCCGGTAGCGCGTTGATGATGGCGTGTAGGCTATCCCGCCGCACCACCTCGTCATCGTTCTTCGCCGCGTCGATGAACGCTCCGTAATGCTCCGATGTCAACAGCGGGTCCGGCAGGTCTCGCAAAAACTGTTTTAGTAACCCTGCCACACTGTTCACATCATGGAAGAAGTTCTCCGGATTCCGGAAGTCTAGGATTGGCGCGTCTTCATCTTTTTTTCCCTCCAAGTTAGCTCTCGCTGTTAGCTTCGCAGGGGAAAGGGGGGACGAACTAGTATCAAACAAGTGTTTCAACTTATTCACGTGTGCTGACGAGCCAGAAAGCCTGTAAATACCCTCGACGGCAAGTCCGTACAAATCAACGGCCTGGATACACTGGTAGACAACCATCGGCACGGGTCCTTTACTATTTTCGTATAACCGTTCCAGGGAAACTCCAAAGACCGGTCCCCTTGATATTGCTCCCTCTGTCTTCGGCACGGCGGCGCCATGGGGCGATGTCGATCGTTCCGGAGACTGCTCAACATGCGGCGGGGCCTGGAAGCCTATTTGCCCACCTTGTTGTTGTTGGGGGCTTTGCGCTCGAGGCGGCTGGCCCTGGAACGGTAAGGCTCCAAGTTGTGGAGGGCCACCCATGCCACCACCATTGAATCGCGACTGGGTCGGAGGGGTTTGTATCGAGTTCCGTACATTATACTGCGGTGGAGGCTGCATACTGGGCTGGTTTAGCATTGCACCATGACTGAAGCTCCTCTCATGTCCTGCCCCTGAAGACGGTCGTTGAACTGGTGCCAGTCCAGGGGGAGGAGTGAAATCCCGAGCTGGTCCTTGGAACCCAGTCGGTGATGATATAGAATCGAACCCTCCGGTTCGAGAGCCCATCGAACCTGGTTGCTGTTGCACCTGTAAAGGCGATCCTTGTCGCTGCTGAGACTGTGGTCGTGCTTGTTGTTGCTGGTGCATTTGTGTCACCTGATTTAGGGACACATTTTGCTGAGGATTAAGAACCTGGCTTAAGTTAGCATCGAGCATGGCTCGAAAGTCAGATAGCCGACGACGTACGGGATTCCTCTCGTATTTCGGCTCTGATGATTTGGCCGGAACTTTGCTATGAACGCTGATAAGATAATTCTCCAGGTCCTTCTTGTTGTCGATGGCCTGGACAACTTCTTTTAGACTGCGAGAGAGCTGACCTGGTTGAGCGGCGGTCTTCAGAGGACTTATCACCAACCCGTTACTAAGCAATAGCTTTTCATTGAATGAAGCTAATACGCTGTTAATATCATATGTCAAATTTTGTCTCTACGCTCACATTTACTTACCAAACTTCTGCATCTGCAGGGTAGTGCCAGAGTCGCATTCTCTAATCAGATCGTGTAGCGCCTTGACAGCTTCTGGACGGGTCGAAGTCTCGACGGTTGCTTTTTCAGACTGGTATGCCTGAACTTTGCTCATGTAGTCCGTGTCAGCTGCTTGAACCTTGCGTAGAAGGTCCTCTTCGTGCTGTGCTGCTGATTTGGGTTTGATACCGAAGACTCTCGGTCCTTGTTTTGCTTCGCCGGTTCTCACCCTATCATACTCTTCGGCCAGCGAATCGTATTTCATCTTGGACTTGCGCATTGCGCTCTCCACATCAGTCAGACGTTGTTCGGCGGCTAAACCGTTCTGCTTCCATCCTTTGCGATGTTTCTCGGCTACCGCAGCTACTTCAAGGAGGTCTTCATGCATTTGGTGTAGAGATAGCGCAAATTGTATTCCGTTCTCGGCCATACGTTCATGTATCGTGAGCATTTCCTCGTATGACTGCGCGAAGGATCCCTGCCTATGGTCTGTGTGGTGGATGCTGTCCTGAGTCGATTTACACAGCTTTTTCAGGCCCTTAGCATGCTGGTCTTCGAGGTCCGATCGCTTCTTAAGAAATGTAGCAAATTCCTATAGGAGATAATGATTAGAAACCAACCTAGCGAGAAGAGCTATAGGTTGTGTCATAGAAAATAGCTAACCTTAGCAGCTATAATGCTTTGCTTAAGCCTATTCAGCATAGTGGAAACGCCAATCTGCGCCAAATCAGCCATGTCTTCCTCGATATGCGGTGCTTTGTGGGATCTATACATCTGAAGCGAGCACCTCTTGTACTTCCTGGGACATTTCGGGTTCGGCCGGGCTGGGACTCATCGCGGCAGGTTCGAGCCCACCACCATTTGTTGAAGAGACGGCTCCATCTTCAGGTGGTGGTGGTGGCGGAGTTGCGCTATTACCAAGAGACATGCTGGCTATATGCTCTAGCTCGGGAATTTGAGGAGAGGTGAAGTCGGGAGACTGACGGCCATAGTCTGCCATGTTGGGCGGGAACAGTCAGGATCAATTAGCTTTCGTCCACACTATTTTAGGTATAGATCCGGGGTAGACTGTTCATGGGCAAGGTCTCAGAAAAAGCTTAGTTGTTGGTGGGAGGGTTGTGAAACGTGGGATCGGGACCGATATTCATGCGACGGTGTCAGGCATTTATTTATTATGCAAGTATCTGTTTTCTTGCTATCTCCTTTCGGGTCGCAATCGAATATCGAGTACCTAGGTATAGTAACCGGATTGTGTGAACTAGATCGTACATAGACGTTTTTTCTTTTCGTGTCTCGATTTCATGCAGATGGACAAGGAGGCATGTTTGAAAGTCTGTCAACTTAGTGGTGTGGGTGGTGTAGGTGGTGGTGTAGGTGGTTTAGTGGTTTAGTGGTTTAGTGTGAAGCTCCATGTCACGATATCCACATGCAAGGTGGTTCGGGTGCTTCTGCTTTGGTTCTACACTTAAGCCCAAGTGCAGGCACAGAAACTTTTGTGGCTTAGCAGAGCAAACTACGTAATTCCCTAAACCAAACACTTAACCAAACAGGGCACAGTGCTAAAAGCATAGTTAGGTGCTAACTTTGCTAACTTACCTTAGCGCAGCGGATACAAGCGAAATGCTAGCTGCCGCAAGCCCTGATTGGTCGCCTAACCTTTTACGCTCTCCGGCGGTAAACCGTATTTTGGCCCTCAATTTCCCCTCGGATGGTTGGCATGTCGTACTCGGATGGTTACCAATCCTCGTATTATCTTAATATAAAGTTATACATATCGTATTTTTAATTGACAAGTCAACCCTACGCCGTTCAATTAGTTAAATATGCAGGTGGAAAAAACAAAAACGTATAACGGGTAGTTATAGCAAACGCCTTAATTAACAGGTACGTTTATTTTGTTCTAAACAGACCAGAAGGCGCAGAGAATTTTATCTCGCATATATGTATCTCTTATTCCTTGTTGCTATACTATATGTACAGTTCCTGCAACAGTAAGTAGCAACAGCTACTCGTATACCTGCCAAGCCGTGATGCCATAGCGCCCGAGTACAAGAAAATGACGTCCCTGTTTCCGAATGGGTATAGAATGTGCGTCCGTCAAATACGTGGTATCATTTTCCGTTTATTAGAACATAGAAGAAAAATAGAGCAAACTCTTCCTCCCAACCTGTGCCATGACCGTTGCCTAGTGTCGTAAATTGTTGCCGTTATCATCCAGAATCAAAAATCCACCTTGATCTTGTAGTATGCCACAGATCAACCACAGGAGCGCACTCTTTCACTCGACAAAAGAAAATGATTGGTAATAATGAATGCAGTGGGGGAAGTGCCACATGGTAGCCATTATGCTACCTCAAAATAAAACGCCGGGACAATGCGGGATATCAAGGAAATAATTGGAATTGTGCGAGACGTCTTAAGCAAGAATGCAAAGAGTACAAGGGAGATTTTGCAATTCACCTCTTAGGAAAGGTAGCAGGACACGTAATTTATCTCCAGATGGGCAAGTGACGATAAGCAGGAGAGTTGTAGGAATGAAGAACCCGATAATGCATGGGGTTACCTTGCTGATCCAAGCTCTGGTGCCTAGTATGGTGTCGAGGGGCGTGTGTAGGATGCTGTATATGTTCATCCCATTGCCGTGGTAGTGACATCGACCGACCACTCCAAGGATCTGAGACGTATGTCTGCCCGTTGCGAGACAGTGATGGGTAAGGGCCGTTATCCCGAGCACAACTGTCTTGCGGCACGATATTATACTCGTCATAACTAGGCCGGCGATGTAATGGTAAATCTGGTTGCGAATGGTATGGTTGCCGGAAGAGGGCTGGCCCAGTAGTTGCAACGCTTCGTCGACTCGATTGACTAGCAAGTGAACTTCGGCGGCTATAATCGAATGATGATTGTCGAGAAAGGGAAGGACCATGGTCTACCTGAATATCCCAACTGGGAGCCCGATCTACCGCTTCCGATCTGAAGCTTATAGGCTTAACACCGTTTGGTGCAGGCAACGCAGAAGACTTGTCAACGTAACGACGAGCTTGGCCGGGAGTGTAATTTTGAAAATTCTCCCGACTCGATCTTCTGGATAGTGCAGTTTGATTTGCCGCAAAAGTGCCGCTCATGTCGGGGGTTCTTAAATTACCTTCGCGACTTCCCCTACGAGAGTAGAGAGGTTGCCCTGGCCGGCCTATGTTTTCTGGAGGAGTTGATTTTGACCTTACTGGCGAAGGAACTCGTAGAGAACCCATATTCCGAGTTCTCATACTAACAGGAGGGGGGCTTTTAGAAAATCTCGAACTTGGCATAGGTGGTGGTGGAAGTTCAAGGGATGTTGCAGAGTCCGATTCGCCTTGGGCGAATTCATAACTACGTCTCATATTAATCATCCTCGATCCCTCTTCTATATGGCCTACCACAGTACTTGAGCTAGGCTGTCGTGGAATGTATGTAGGGTATCTCGTTCTGTCGTTTGATGTAATGATATTAGTAGAATCGTTAGGGTCTCCATTGGTTGTTTTAGGTGATGCGACTTGAACGAGCTTACTTTCCGGGGATGTTTTGGTGATTGTAGGCGGCTTACGAGATGTACCATAACCTCGAGCAGGTACAGGCTTACGACGGACCGACTTCTTCGATAACATGGATGAATTATCCGTAACCGTCGATTCAATAGAAACTGGGGTCCCTTGATTTCGATCTGGAGCCATTATTTGACCACCTAAGATCTTCGGAGAGAGGTCTTCATCCTGGAGGAGCTCTGCACTTCCAACACTTAGAATTGTTCCCAGTGTCTCTTTGCTAGCTGCAGACCTTAGAGCTAATTTCCTGAACGAAATTGGCCTTGACCCCGAGTGCATTTGAAGCCTTGCATGCATATCCCTAGAGACAGCAGGAACACGTGCATATCCAACAGGATGCGTATTATGGGCAGTAAGCGGTACTCGACTTCCACTTAAAAATCTCTGCAGCTTTCCGGGCTTGCGGAAGCCAGTGGTGATGCTTCGACTAGGACTAGATGTAGGTGGACTACGTAGAGATGCCTTGTAAGTTTCCATGTTACGACTGGGATGATTCCACATATTGCGTGGTGGCAAGACTCTTTCTGGCACCTGAGTAGGCTGCGGAGCGCCTAATGATCTGGGGGCTTGCTGGAATTGTGGTGATAGTTCGCCCGGCGTCTTGGGGCTAGCAAGAGCAACAAAATGAGGATCTTTCATAGGGACCGGTGGAGGGGATCGTTCGTCAGATGACTTAGAAGTGTCAACGTTGGCTGTCGTGATAGTAGGACTTGTAGCCTCTAATTCTTCAGCGCGCCTGCTTTGTTTCACACTAGCATCGTTCATAACCTCAGCAGTGCGGCCTTGTTCGGGAGCCTGTGGCTTTGAAGAAAACGATCGTAATGAGACACTTGAGCTGTAGCCTGAATCTGCCTTGGACAAAAAAGGCGCGGCCGAGTACTCCGAAGCAGGGCTCGCAATGCCACTATCTGACCTACTGATCTCCTTGGAGCTTCTCTCTTCCGCCGTTGGCTTCTTGCAAGGTGGCGTAGACTTCGCATTTGCGTCAAGTCGTACATCCAGAACCTCAACTGACGAATACTCGTCCTGATCGTCGTCGTCGTCGAACAGTTTATCCTCTATAGCTGTATGCTTGCTAGTTACGTGTATATCTGGGATAGTCAACTTCTCATCATCAAGCACTGGTGGGCTTGCCTGATGCTCGCCTGGGAGCTCGGGGAGCTTCCGAGATGATATAGAGTATGTAGAGGCGGCTCCTTCGACATTAGAATTGATTTGAACTTCAACTTTTGAGACCGACACCTCGGAACTTTGAGTCTGAATATGGTTGGTTGGAGCCGTTTGCACCGTCCCAGAATAAGCTTCTGCTGTACCATTAACCGCCAATCTCACGGTATCTTCATACTTGGTATCACGATCAACATCTCGAACAGGACTCCTTGCCGGGCTCCTTGCTGGACTGCCATTTGTAATTCGTAGGGTGCCAAGCTTAAAAGCGCCTGTCTGTGTATATTCCGCCTCACATGGTGTAAGTGCACGGGGTACAGGCTCTGGATCGGTTAATCGATGAGGCGCATTAATCGTACTAATACCCATTGACTCTATAGACTCTCGACGCGCTGGAGTAGAGGGGACGCTGTATCTCGTTTTTGGAGGGTTTGAGTCTATCGGCATTTCACGAGTAGCAACGCCAGGAGTCATAAAAGACCTCCGTCGCATAGGGGTATATAAAGACAAGTCAGAATTATTATGAGTTATTGACGGAGGTGCCTCAGGAATTGAGGGTCGTCGCCCCCTGAGGTCCCCCCGCATCGCTTCGGAAATGTGTATTCGACTCTCCAAAACAGTCGAATTATCTTCGCGAGACGGTTCGTTAACGAGATTTGACAAGCGTTGAGCCTCGTAAGAGAAATGATCATAATTAAACGAAGTTCGTGACGCGCTCATAGACAAGCTCCTGGCGATAGTATTTAGCTCGTACCTCTATAATGTGAAAAACAAGCATCACAACTTACACTTGGGCAGAAGCCTGGCCATAGTTATAGCCTTCATCGAATCCATTCCCTAAAGATTCTATCCTATTTGACCAACGCTCTTGCGGAAGATCCGGTACCTCGACACTGTTACTTCTCCGGTGATGCCTGGGTACATCTTTGGAGGTGTTGGAACGGAATAGTCTCCTCGAAATACGACGCCCTAAATCCAGCCCTTTCTCGCCGCCTGGCACGCTTACGGATACGATAGGATCCTTTTCAGGAAGCATCGGCGGGGCTGAAAATATAGGAGCGTGGGGAAGCGAGGCACGTCTCGCTGCCGGGGAATGGCGCGGTGGATTTGAGGCGCCATTTGTATTCAACAGGCCAGCTGCGGTAGGATTACCTATCTTAGGTTTTGATAGTTTTTGAGATGCTCGGTGACCCTTCCATGGAGCTTCGGCGGAGATCGAATTCCCCATGATGTTGGGTGAGGGCAAAGCCGAAAAACCGGCGCGGTATTAGTACTAGGCAAGCATTGACAATTCCATGCCGGTAGCTTCAACAGAGTATTAGCATTGGCGATTAACGAACCACACCAATCTCACATAAAAGGGAATGGACAAGCTCGGATCAAGAACAGGCACGATTCAAGATTTGAGTATGAAGGGGGCTTTAAGGCAGGTATTATAAAGAGTATTATAAAAGAGGCATGGGTTACGCCTTGAGATCCAAGGTCACATATGTATGTAGGTGGATATGATGTTATTGGTTTGGATGGCAAGCTGGGGGTTGGGAAAGGTGCAGAATGACGGATTAATAGGAAATAGGAAATACGCAACACCCCCGGTCCTGTCTATCTGGGTCCGTACGCGGTGTGCATCTTGAGAGGAGGAATATATTGACTGACCGAGTTATGTTATCTGAGCTGCACACTGATACGAAACGAATGCGGCAGCATTAGTTTAAGATGCTGCTTTATTCACATATATCTCGTAGGAGATAGATCTGCGCCCATGACTACATATATTATGTAGGGGATATGAAACAAATAAAGCAGACAAAGGAGAAAAGAGTGTTGTGTGCTGGATCTGGTGCAGAGGTTTGCGTACACTTACATATAATGGAAGTTTACCTTAGGCAGATAGGTACAGTTATGGTTATGTTATATGGAGGTATGTACATAATGTACGTTGTATGTTAGGTATATATGTACGGTGGAGTTGAGTAAAAGACGGGACAGCAGGACAGCAAGTGAAAGAGGCAGAAAGATGCATCCATAAACTATGATTGGGAATATGGATATTATTGGCAGTTATTGGTCCAGAATTGAAGTGTGAGATGCGGGTCTTGGAAGTCTCAACGCAGCAGAAACCTGTATTTGGAACTTGATCTTGACTGAGTTTTATGGGACATCGAGATCTGGAAAATTAAGACGAGACTTGGATGTTACTTTTGCTACTTCAGCGCGGCAACTGAGACGCTCAACTTTCCCATGCTAAAAACTATGGGAACTATGGGAAGCTACGGAAATTAGCATTATAGATTTTGGTAAAGTAAGAAGGCACCAATGTACATATGTTGTACGCATTTAGCAGCCGTCTTTAGAAGTATTACTTAAAGTACCTTTCCAAGGTTCGCTTGTGAGCCCCGCCAACCGGCTGCTCCCTGCACCTGTCTGATCTTCATACCCCTGCAATCTCCATTCCTGCACCGATTGGAGACCGGAATTGACCTAAGTAGGGAAAGTTAGAGACACTCTGACGCTAAACCAAGGCCATGTGCCTACTAGTACCTGTCGATTTATCGACTATCTCGTGTAAGCAGCTAAGGCATTCCCGAATTCTATTATCTGATCATTACATGAGATGCTTTAAACTTTAAGCAGTTTCTTAGGTAGGTACGGCTTCTAAATAGAGTTAGGTACTAAGTGCATAGGCAAGGATCACGGAACTTTTATAGCCATGTAAACTTACAATTACATACAACATCCTATCCTAGCCTAAACCGAGCTATCTGTGCGAAGATGCCACAAAGACAGTTAGGTATATGCTACCGGTAGCTTATCCTTGCTCACATATGCGAGACAATGGGTTCGTCCATCCTCTATATAGTACGGTACTGTTCTTTTTTCTATCATATATCAATTGTATACTGCTGAATATGGAAAGTCCTTCGCTAAGCTATAGTTACGCTTAACCCCATGACTTAAGGCTACTATACCTTATTTCATCCCGTTGTCTCCGATATCCGAAGTTTTGCAAGGATGAGAGCGAACTTCTACGCTTCAATGTTAGAATATCAGCGTTAAGTCAAACTTCCGAGATTCTAGCCATCGGTATCCGTCATATTGTCATCACAAACATACGCGTCTCGGACTGATCTTTTTTCTTATATCCACATACATACATGCATACCTCCTAATAGGTTAGGTAGGTATGTACGAGTTAGGAATTTTGTGGTATCAGATAGTACATATTGTACTGATGGAGCAATCTTAAGCTTCGATAACACAAGTACGGCTGACGTTGTATTTCGCGGAGCGGGACCAAGACTAGCCACAAAGATCAGGGACGAACAAGATTACAGGGTTATGCTAGCAATTTTCCAGGATTACCGCTCCAAACACTCCGGCCCTGTTCTCTGTTCTCTTCAGCCGGCGCTTCAAATCTCAAATATCTAACCAGGTAATTCCTTATGCTAAGGAATACTATGTACTTCCTCTTCCTGGCACTTCCGACATTGCTCGCCACACGTTTTAATATTGGGTAATCCTTCAAAAGCCGCCGATGATATCGAGGACGTCACTTGCGAAAGAGCCTCGTACATAGCGTCGGATTTAACATGCGCGCCGCGTTGTTTACAGAAATACAGAAACACGTTAAACGTCTCCAATCAAAGATGCCGGTAGTCCACAGCTAGTATGTCTACGCCAATGAGGCGAAGGAGGGATCGATTCCGCAACGTCGTAATCGTAAAGATTTACCCCCACTTGGATCCTATTCAGAATTCCCAAATGTCGCGAAACCTTGATTCGGTGTTGACCTCCCGAAACTTCTGTTCTTGCCCGACCACCTACGTACATGGTACATATGCAGGTTATTTCCATGACAGCAAATATTCCTTTTCACCGCCTTATTGTACAACAATCAGCTGTTTCGCATATGCGGTTGTCGTTTGCTAAGACTGACGCAAAAATGAAGTTTCCCATCTTAGTTATCTCCTTTCTCCGACGGCGGTCAAGAATTCCCATGTCATTATCGATATTAGCATGAGACGATCTCATATTTAAATAATTAACTTCTAACGTTTTCCTATTTCCTATACTCGAGATAGGGAGAGCTGTATCAAAGACACCTACGACACTATTGATAATATTGACAATACCTATACAGAGCGTACGATTAAACTTTTGATACCCTTGGTGCAGATCGTTGATCACCGCGCTATTGGAAGACGGGATGTCCCATTAGACTGCAATGCGACTCCATTCATAACTCGCCATCATTCGTTCTTTTGCCATCGTGCTACCGCATACTCTATGCAGACTTCTTACGCAAGCTTCAATTAAGCACCACGACAGAAGATGCGGCTGATTTAGGGTTATTCATTTAGACCGGGCGGACAGTCCGAGGTCGCGGGAATATATTAACGTGAGAATATACTTTATTTAAATTTATCTTTATGACCAAGGAGGCTAATCTAGTTTGTGAGCCGCTAAACTGGAATAGCATGCATACAAGGTGATTTTACCTGAAATATATTACCTATTACCTAAGGTATACATAGATATTTTAACGGTATGGCCGATATACCCGCTTATCGCTTCTGACGACGCCTCTCAACATATCAATGCAGGACGATAACCTCAAATGCAAACGTCGTACAGGTATGACCGTTGCCCCGCTACCTCAACAGCGGGCATCGAGCTACAGCTTCCGATAGGGGTTGGGAGATGTTTTAACCCGCCCGGCGCCGTGGCTAATGCCCGCCCCGTGGTGTAACCGATACCTTTCCGGTTTTTGATAGGTATAGATTTGAGGACTCGTCAGCTTCTCGGAATGTCGTGATACAAGCCCGCACAAGATCGATATTACACGGCATCTTGCCGCAACTCGCTAGCAAGCATCTTAATTACATGTTTGCCCTCTTCGTGTGGTTGTACATTCGAATGATAGGGTAAAAAGTTGAAGATTTCAGCTGATTACCTATGCGTGATCTAAGACTATTGGCGCTTGTCTAACTTGAACCTCAGCGACGATCGTGCTCAACAGGCGAGCTAAGGCTTCCGGTCTGCCGACTTATCTCCCTACAAGACCTACTAATGGTGGCGGCATCATCCGGGATACCGCTTCTGAGGCTATCGCCACTATTCCGGTCGCTGCCCGTGACCTAAAGAGGAATATCAGATGCCGATATGTTCGATTCCATTGGATAGCCATCGACCATGAACTTATTTGGGTGGAGAGTCAATTCGCTATATCATTCCTTTTTCAAAATGGTGAAACTAGAAGCGCGCCAGATATTGCTAATTAAATCCCTGGCCTCTGAACGGCTATACGGAGCTTAAAATCTGTCTACTAAGTCCTCCAGGTTTTGATCATCCGCCGTGCTAAATCCCGAAGAGTATGAAGGTAGTGGCCGATTTCTATCGGTGTCCGAGGATAGGAACCCCAAACTGGACCTGGCTTTACGAATGGTCCGGATCAAATATTGCGATTGTCCGTTAATTTGCGCATGCCTCGCATAATGTTTAAACATGCAAGACTTTTATTCTCTCTCAGAGTGAGGTCGATATTGTACTGTAATGGATTTATAGCGCATTCATTATGACAACGCTCCAGCAAGCCACCACTCCACGTCGGTATCATAGAATCGCAGTCTTTCCCCTTATTATTAGGCGATTAAGAGCGTTATAAATTCGGGTACTACTCTAATATTTGTATACCGAGCTAGGCGCACTATCGCTACGTTTCGTCCTTGTAAGCTCATATAGGCTGATCGAATGGCTGATTCATTCATGTCAAAGGGGATATCATACAGACGGCGTTTGAAGCCACCGCCACAGTGGTCCTGACATCGGAGGCCGAAGATTTTTGTCTCCCACAACCGAGACTAGCATACGTCGAGAATTAAGCTTAATGCCCGTAGTTGATCTCGTCCCTTGGGAAGAAATATTTGTCGCCACTCTGTTTATTATTTAGTAGATATGTATTCAGTCACTCGGTCGACGTTATAATTACATCACGGCCTCTACACCTGTAATATCTTACCACCCTTAATTCGACGTTGTTGCTATTCACCGATGACGTATGTACATCCATTGTCGCCTATCCAGACCTCATGGACTCTGCCGGCGTCGACATCAACACGGTCGCCGACCGTGTATGTCTTCTTCTCCGGATTAGCGTCCTTTGGGTAGTTAATGGTGAGCTGGCCATCCAGGATCAGATGCGTTGTCAGGCCGGAATGAGAGTGCGGTCTGTAATAGGCATTGCTGCATCAATATTGTGAGTTAGCAATAACCCCTTTTTACATTCGTTAACGCAAGGCCTGAAACATACGGGCCGTCGGTCCAAGTGAAGACGTGAGAAAAGCCCCAGGACCGCACTTCCGCCTCGTAATTCTTATGGCTCTTGTTCGACATGGTCGGCCTAGTAACTGTTCCCTGCTATCGATACCTAAATGAGTTGAATGGAGTTGAGCTGGCCGGTGAATATGGTCGATTTGCTAGCACAGCCGGCTCTTAATGCCTAAGGTTGACCGACGGGGAGAGAATGGGCTTGACTATAACGTGGCTGTGTTTTATTGTTTTGGTGAGTTGGACAACTTGGGGTAAATTTTCTAAGAAACCCATGACGTCGCTTCGGTCTGCAGCCTTGCGTTCGTTGCTAGGTTTTAGACTTGAATGTCGGACTCCCCCTCCCCCCCTTTTTTACCCCAACTTCACGTGCTGCTTCAATTAATTACACTACCTACATAGAGTTAGGTACTTA